AAAATTTTAACTTCTGATAATAATTTAGAGTCATTACAATCTGAGGGAAGGTATACAGATAATGTTAATTCTAGGGAGAAAAGAAAGAAAACTAAACCAAAATATTTACAAGATTTTGTCACTGATGATTCAGATTTAGGTGATATATTAATGGCATCATTTTTATCTTGTTCTAATGGTAATGTCCCAGAAAAATATAATGATATAGATTCTTATGACGATAAAGATAGGTGGTATGAAGCGGTAAATGAAGAAATTAAATCTTTAGAGGATAACAAGACTTGGGAAATTGTAGAAAGACCAAACGATGCTAAGTTAATTGATTGTAGATGGATTTTTACGAAAAAGGCGGGCAATGTATATAAAGCTAGATTAGTTGCAAGGGGGTTTCAACAGGAAGGTAGTTTTACCGAAATTTATTCTCCCGTTTTGAAATTACAAACTCTCCGAGTTCTTTTATCATTAGTTGTTCAAAGGAACTATTTAATTCATCAAATGGATGTTAAAGGTGCTTTCCTTCATGGTGTAATTGATGACGTTGTATACTTAACCCCCCACCTGGTGTAAATATAAATACAAATTCTTGTCTTGAAATTAAAAAAAAAACACTTTACGGTCTTAAAAAATCTTCAAAAAATTGGTACAATAAATTTTATGATTTTATGAAAGGTAAAGGGTTTCAAAGAGCAGAAAGTGATTATTGTTTATATTTTAAGGATGGTATTTACATTTTGTTGTATGTAGATGATTTATTAATTTTAGGTGAGGACAATTATTTAAAATATCTAGGTATTAATATTATTCAAGATAGTGACTGTTTGTATATTAACCAGAAAGAGTATTTAAAATATATATTGACAAAGTTTGGTATGTCTGAAGCAAATGCTAGTGAATCACCCATGGAAGTTAATGTTAATCTTGATGATTGTACGGTTGATTACTCTTAAGAGCATAAATGTAGAGCTTGTATAAGTTCTTTAATGTATGCTGTAGTACGTTCAAGACCTGATTTGTGTGCTCCTGTTTCATATTTAGCAAGATATCAATCTAGACCATCAGAAAGGTTATGGCAATGCTTGAAAAGGATTTTAAGATACATTATTTAAAATATAATAAAAATTGTAATTCCGAACCACTAGTTCGATATGCTGATGCTAGTTTTGCTGTAGATAAAGATAGGAAATCTATAACTGGTTATGCATTTAAAGTATTTGATAACAGTGTTATTTGGCGTTGCAAAAAGCAGAGCACTGTAGCTTTAAGGACTACTGAGGCAGAGTTATACTCCCTCAATGAAGCCGCTCTGGAGGCTTGTTGGATTCGGAAATTATTAAATGAGTTAGACGTTAGTTGTAATACCACTACCATATATGAAGACAATAAAAGTACAATATTTTCTGTATGTGATCCTGATCAAAAAAGAATGAAACATGTGGACATAAAATACAACTTTATTAAACATAAAATAGAATGTAAGGAAATTTGTGTTATATATATACCTACAAAGCAACAAATAGATGATATTTTTACGAAACCATTAAATAAAACCTCTCATAATTATTTTGTACATAAATTAGGATTGGAATAGATTTTAGTTCGCATTGTGTATTTTTAGTTTGTTAGTTTTGTTAATACAAATCATTGTATTGTTAGTTCTTACTTATTCGTTGTAATGTTTGAAATTATTGTAATGTTAGTTCTATTAATATAAATCATTGGGGGGAGGTGTTAATTAACAGTGATTCATATAATATTGTATTTTAATGGCAACACTGCGTCGGTTGTCAACACTGTGTCTGTGGTTATGAAAGAAGATTCAATATGACGTTATAGGCTCTACATGTTGTTGTTTTGAGGTTAATAAAAAGCACGTTTTATGTTCAAAGTATTATATCTTTAATTATCCCCATAATCCATAACATGTTGCATATCAAAATATATGTTATATCTTGTCCACTAACACCCATCTCTATTTCTTGTTTTTGTAACTCAAATGCTCTTTTATAGTCATCAATATGTTCTTCAGTGTGTGTATTTGAATCACATTTGTTACACACACTGTTCTAGGCTATTTAAATGATATGTTAAAATTTTATATTGAATATATTGCTATAAGTGCAATCCTTGATGAGATTGATTTGGTAGTTTTCTTTTTTCCCTACATTTTTAAATATGCATTGAATACATCTTTTTACCAGAAGTAATGGATTTAAATACTGTTTGTAGATATTTTGAGTACAAAAATAATGAGAACTTTCACATGGAAAACTTCTAATATGATTACATATGTAATTTTCTACATAAATTTGTGTTTAAGTAGGTATGAGTTTTACCCCATTGTAGTTTGAGCGCTGTCACGTCATTTAATTTAATTTTTGATTAAATGGCTGTTACTTTTCTATAAGCAATTTGAAACATATTGGAAAATACAGTCTCACAAACTTTTATGTCGGTACCAACATTAGGTAGAACACAGATATAAGTTGTGCTTCTTTTCCTTTTTTGGTTTGTAAGTGCTCTTCTGACATTTTCAGATCTGATGAATTTTGGGAGATACATTTTTTTCAGTGTTACTTTTAAGCTATAGTATTGAGAAAAGAGGTCAATACCACAAAACTTTTCATAGCACTTGTAATTGAATGTTGCTTTGCATTATATGCTTGTCCTTGGGTTTTTCTTTACCATATTTTTACCACCTATGTCCACTTAGCCCTTCAATTATCATGTTTATGAGTAATCTCATATTAAAAGCTTAGTCAAAACAAGTTGGGATCAACAGGTATTAAGGCTATTTCCAGCCTGCATAAATTGCTTACAAACATGAGCAAAGTATCTTCCCCTTATTATTGATAGTAAAAAGTGTTATTGGATACATTTCACTGAGCAGTTTAAGAGAAAAAGTTTAAATTATACTCATTAGTCTTAAGGGCTTAGATTATATTTTTATTGCACCTAGTTATACTCCAGAACATCATCAATAATAAATAAATCTATTAATTATTTATTAGCACAAATAAATACACTCCTAACTAAGTTTATTTTAAATTATTTTAGGTGTGTGACCCAGACCTGTTAATTTTGAACATCAATGCTAAATGGCCAGGAGCTAGACACGATGCTCACATATGGGCAAATTCACCTGTAAGCTCCACCATGAAGCGACATTTTGACAATGGGGATCGCCGTACATGGTTACTTGGTAAGTTAAAGACCAAGGTTATTAGAACAGAATGTTTGTAAGACCATGGTTGACGACCCCAATAAAAAATCAACACCTTGGGACACCTGAGCGTAGATACACTGATGCTCATGGTTCAGCCAGAAACATCATAGAAAGATGCTTTGGTGTGCTAAAGTCTGTTTTTAGGTTTCTGTCTCATTAACGCCAGTTAATGTATGAGCCATATACTGCTGCCCTTATAGTAAATGCATGTGCAGTGCTACACAACATGCGCGTTAAATATAGATTGATGGAACCATATGTCACCACATACACAGAAATCATTGTTGATAGCTATAACGATGATTACTTGGAAGATACAGGTAATAATGTTGTTTAGGTAATATTAAATTAGACTATGTTGTTTTTGTAATATTAGAATAATTTTAAAATTTTATGTTTTAATTACAGAACGAGTAACTGGCACTGGGCGAGCTGCTGCAGAGAAGACAAATACTGCTTATACTTAATTATCTATAGTTTTCTGTTATATTAGTAATAATGTAATTTTAGTAATGATGTGTATAGTAAATGTTTCATATTATTTGTATAAAGTAATATATTGTAAATTGAATTTATAAAAAAAAAGTCCCGCTGGGTTTCTTGCTGGTTCTTCCCAGGACAGAGGTATCCTTCAAACCAGTGGTAAACGTAAAAAATTACTAAAAAAATCTATATTGAATAAAAATGATTCTATTCTATTAAGAGAATTGAAATAAAACATTAAACAAATTTATTTATTATTTTTAATAACAAGCAAATCTCCAATTTTATCAACAGCCTGAGCTAATAAATGAAATGCCTTGGCCTGAACTTTTGCTGCCTCCGCCTGCATTCTGGCAGCCTCGGCCCGTATGTTGGCAGCCTCTGCCAGCATCTGTAATGAAAACTATAGATAGATCGAGAAATGCTTGCTAATTCTCTCTAGCATGCTAGTGAATCTTTAGGATAAAGTATGCTGTAGCATATAATATCTATTGACAGATCAACAATAGTTTAAATTTTTTTTTAACTTTAAACAACATAAGCCACACGAGCACAGAGTCCACCTGATATTTTGACTTGACGCATGTCTATGTTTACATCTCCCCCACCCCCATTAAGAATCTAAATGCAGATACATTGTCACCCCTGAGGACTAAAATGGAATGCCTCGTTACCAGTCAAGGGTTTAGGTTAGGGTCTCCGGTTCACTCCACTTATCGTGGTTATAGGCGTGGTTCTTCCCCAGTCGAGCCGGCCCCTTACTACGACTACTACTAACATAACTGCAGCATGGCTCTACCACGTAAAAATATATTGATTTTTTCTTCTGTTTAGTTTAGAATGTAGATGTAATGTTATAACCCTTATATGTGTAGTAGGAAAATTATTCCCACATCTTTATATGTGTTCCCAAAGGGTCAGGAAGAAATAGTTTCCCACAATCTGTTCCCACAATAAAACTATGTAAAATTGTCTATGATAAAAAATAGTGTGAATTGGAACGCACCACTTTACGAAAGAAAAAAAAAACAAAAACCCCGACGTCTCCTGTCAAAACATCAGCTGAATGTTAATTTTATGCGTGTTTGTGAGTTTTTTGGTCGAAAATGTCGAAAAAAAAAATACCGTAAGCATAATTTTCTTACAGATTTCTTATAATTATGATATTTGCTGTATATTTTATGTAAAAGTTACCTAAATAGTTATTTGGTTCGACTTTTATGGGCTTCCAAAATATGTGGGAACTATTTTCCTACTGATCATTACGGAACTACATCTTTATTTTTTCTTACAGGTGATACTGAGGAGAGAGTTGAAATATGCACAGATTGAATCGGAATTAAGTAGAATGATGCCCTCCGATGACGAGGAAGATGAGGACGATGAAGAATTTACCTTCGTGAGTGAAAGGCCCAACTTATTTAATAATTTAGATGCAAAGATGAATAAGATTCAATCTTATAGCTACAAAGAACTCTTAGACATTCTTGATGACTGTAATCAGTCAGCGCAATCACTCTCCCCAGCGCAACCATCCACCCCAGTGCAAGCACCCTCCCCAGTTCAGGAATTTACCATACGTTCTTCACCAGAGAGGAATGTTTCTGAGAAGGATGCAGTTGATGAGCCCATGTCATCTTTTTCACTTGAGAGTAATGTTCCTGTGGAGGCTGCAGTTAATGAGCCCATGTTACCTTCTGCTCTTGAGGAAGATATTCGTTCAGAGCCTGTGGCTGAAGAGCCCAGACCGCCTCCTATACCTACACCTGCCTATCAATGTAGAGGACCTTCTGATCCACAAAGATTTAGATCCAGTTCAAATTATTTTGATATATTGAAGAAATCGCGAGAGTGGTGTGTCTAGATTCTCATAATGATTTGTCTAGATTCTCACTCCCCCCAAATTTTAAAAGGCCTTTGACTGTAAACAAGCAATATAACAACCGATCTACTCCATTGTCTTATTTCCGGGATATGTTTCCAGAAGAGTTGGTAAATTTGATTGTGAGAAACACAAATATCTATGCAGCTTATAAATGCTCAAGACATTGGAAAAATATAACATATGAAGAAATGAATGCATATTTTGGGCTTATGGTGTTGATATCAATAAACCCAATACCTGATATAAAGATGTACTGGTCTACTGACGAATTTTATAGAAATTCTGTAATTAGTGAAGTCATGCCTTTCAAACGCTTTCAGAAAATCACAGAAAATTTTCACATTGATAACATATTAGAAGAAGCTCAACACGATGACCCGAGCTATGACAAACTGTGTAAAGTACGACCAATAGTAGACGCTCTGAACGAAAACTTTTAACAAAACTGCTCCTCATCTCAAAATCAATCCATCGACGAGAGTATAATAAAATTTAAAGGCAAATCATCTATGAAACAATACATGCCTAAAAAACCGATTAAACGAGGTTATAAATGCTGGTGTCGTTGCGATTCTAAAACTGGGTACCTCTATCAGTTCCAAATTTATGCAGGCAAAACAGATAATACAGCTGAAGAGGGATTAGGGTGTAGAGTTGTTTCGGATTTATGTCAAAATGTGCCAGAAGATATTTTCATAGTTTTTGATAATTGTTTACGAGCCTGCCGTTGCTGGAGATTTTGTATTCAGAGAAGATATATGCTGTAGGAACCATTCGAGCGAACAGGAAGGGATTGCCACCAGAAATTAGCAAGCAAAACAAAGATCTAAAACTAAGTCCTGGTGAGTTCATCTTCAAATTTGCATGCGTTAAATGGATGGATACAAAAGATGTATTAGTAAGTACTACAGCGCATGATCCAAGGTCTGTTGAAGTAAAACAAAGGACACAGAAGAACGGCTCAAAAAAGCAATGTTTTGTCCAGTTGCTATAAAGAAATATACAGAACACATGGGAGGAGTCGATCTATTTAATCATTATAGATCATCCTACCCTCTGAGTCGCAAGTCAAGAAAATACTGGCACCGTTTGTTTTGGTTTCTTTTCGAGGCGGCTGTGGTGAACTCATATATTGTTTACCATCAAAACAGTCTTATGACACACAGAGATTTTCGTCTAAGACTTGGCCGTCTACTCATAAACAACTTCCGTGCCAAAAAAAGTGATTGTTCCCCTTTTTAAGAACAAAAAGGGTGGAGTATACGGTGTTCCTGGTGAAATCAGACTGCTGAATGTGGGACTACATCTACCTCAAGATAATTTGAAATTCCGCAGATGCCGCTTTTGTTCTACTCGCGTAAAAGAGAAACGCTCCAGATTCATATGCAAAACTTGCAAAGTATCTATTTGCCCCGAATGTTTGACAACTTTCATAAATAAATATTGTGACATGTAACGAAATGTCTATCATTCTTCCCTACCCAGATGTGGGAATAATATTCATGTCGTATCTCAAAAACATATATTTTTTATGGACAACAGGAAAATAGTTCCCACGTGGTAAAACCCATTAGAGCAATAAATGATAAATATCAAACTCAGAAAATATTATTCTAGACCTCATAATAAGTATATTTTCCAAAATTCATAACTTTATGATGGTTAGATCACTCACAACCCATTAAGGGATAACATACCCTCATTGAATCTGCATTAGATTTTGCAACTGCCAGGAAATCCTCCCGAGCTATATTCGCTTGCTCGGCAGTAGATCGGAGAGGATTCAGATCTAAAAATACCCAAAATTTATTGTATTAAATAAATAAAAATAAAAATTGTTTATTTTGGACAACTTGAAATCCATAGGAATTGTAAGTAGAGAAAAACTTACATCTATGTTAGTAATATAATTTATACATTATTATTTTTTATTTTAATATTTAATTATTAAGCAGGACATGGTCCTGGAGATAATTTTTTTGACAAGTGGAAATCCCCACTGTTGGCAATCTCACTCAGTACACTGTGGCCGCTGCCGCGCACTCTGTTTAGCAAAGATGCGGTCTTTTTTCGTATTATTGCATCAACACTATCCACACCCGCCAGTGCAAACATCGCAGACGCGCTACAGTAGCGCGGCAGCCGCAACAGTGCCCTGAATGCCTTGTTGTATTGAGTACGTAGGGCACTATAAGTCTTTTTGGTGTAGTTGGTCCATAGACTGCAAGAATAAAATGACGCACAATATGTTTTGAAAAGCGTGATCTTGGCAGCGTCAGTGCAGCGACCAAATCTATGTACCAACAAATTCGCCCTGACCGACAGTGCCCTACGTTCTCTTTCAATGTCTTCATCGTCTTTAAGGCTGTCAGTCACAATATGTCCAAGATATTTAAAACTATAGACCCTTTCTAGCGGTTCATTATAAAGCTTTATAGGTGGTACCACACTAGGACATTTACTGCCAGCCTTAAATACCATGAAATGCGACTTTTCGGTATTGTATAGTAAACCATGTGAGACAGCGAATTTTTCACAAACACCGAGTAGAGCTCTCATCGCACTAACCGAGGGTGCCAGCAGAACCATATCGTCCGCGTAGCTGATATTGTTCACACACACCTTGCCGATATGGCAGCCGACACGCATGCTGGTGAGCTCTCGAATCAGTGCGTCCATATACAGGTTGAAAAGCCTCGGTGATGTCAGCCCCCCTTGCCTAACCTCGCACTCTATCCTGTACGGCTCAGAATACTCATTCGCCCATCTCACATAGTTCACTTGGTTACTATACCAATACTTGAGTAAATTGGTGTAGCCACAAGGTAAACCTACGCCTTCTAAATTACGCCATAAGATGTCGTACGAGACAAGATCGAAAGCTTTACTCAGTATCTAGGAAACAGGCATACACTGGGGTGCGCCTATCCGTATAGTATTTGACAGTATGCTTTAAACTCATTATTGCCGTTTCTGTTGATAGACCACGCGAGAAGCCGTGCTGGCGATAATGTAACATACAGTGATTTTCTAGAACAGAGTTAAGCATACTGTCAAATATCTTTGCTATAGTCGTTGCCAAGGATATTGGTCTATAGTTCGATCTCTCTGATACGTCACCAGTACGGTTTTTTACAATGGGGACAACTGAAGTCCTCATTAAGTCGGCAGGAAAGTAGGTATGCGAGACACAAACATTAAATAATAGTGCCAAAACTCTAGGTAAGTGCACACCTGCATATTTAAAGTGCTCAATACTGAGACCATCGTGACCGGGTGACTTACCTGCAACCATAGTTCTAATAACTCGTACTATCATTTTGTCACTTGCTACCATTTTGAGTTCACGCTTGGTTTCAGCATTGGACACGGGGTGTGACGACGGCCCTAAGGGTGACGTGACCATAAAATGATCCCTGAAGAGATCTGCAATTTGCTTCATGTTACTAACCCCATTTACTGCTTCAGGAAGACTAGGTCCGACGTTGAGCTTATTCGTGGATTTCCAAAACTTCTTAAAATCTTGTTTTGAATGATAAGTAGCCAATTTATCCATTTTTAGTTGATTTTGGTGGTTTTGGCACCACTTCAATCTACTCTTGAAAACACGGCGGCTGTTAACCATCTCATCGTGGACAAAACCCTGCCTCGGTCGACCATACCATACCCACATCATAAATTTGGACCTAGCCTCCCTGTGTGCCTCACCGACATGCTTATTCCACCCTATTAGCACACGTTTTTTCTTTTTACACATATTTCCTTGGTGAGTTTTGATTGCTGCACATGATAAAACAGACACTATGTTTTTATATAAATTGTCTATGACACTCCTATGACTCATATCGTCACAAAAACCATAGCTACATTTTATAAATTCTGATGGAAAATATATTGACTTAAGGTTGTTGTGACATAATTCCGTATAATGAGTTTATTTGTTCATCATTTCTGCAGCCCCATTTTATTTTAATGCACGCGATTATTTTCGGAACAACCTTAGGTATAACATAGTTCAACCTACATTCAATCAAGAGTGGGAAGTGGTCAGACCAGTACACATCATATAAAATCTTCGTGTTATTTATTAACTTATACGCTGCCTCAGTGACTATACAGTGATCTATCCACCTCCCAGTCCCATGCGCGTCACTGACGTATGTAAATGAATTACAGTCTAGGGTACTCACGTCGGCACAAAACCAGTCCTGTTCCGCGCAAAAGTTTTTCAGTTCTTCATAAAACGGCCGCCCTGGGTGACCATTATAGTCCCCCAATAGGAACACTGTCTCACATTCACTTTCTTCTACTATAGCATTTAAATAGCTTAAGCAGTCTGTAAAATCTGTTAAGTTTTCAGTGCAATCAACGGGCATATACACACTACACACTATTAGCTTTTGATTACCGAGATCAACTTTAATGGCACAAATACGAGCACTTGAACACGGTATTACGGATACACAGGGGAACACTCTTTTTCTCCACAGCAGCGCGACTCCCCCATAGGGTCGCCCCTCCAATACTCCAGTCGTCGTGTCCACAGCAGACGTCCCGGTGCTTCCAAAATCAGCATCAATATTCTCAAGATACGACAGGTCATGCGGCAGCAGCCACGTCTCTTGAAGAGCTATTATGTCAGCTGTCTTACATAGCTGACGGACCCCCTCGACCGCTCTTTTTACAGATTTACAATTATATGTAACAAAACGGTTACAAGACATGGCTTTATCATTTCTGTCCATTATGATCTTGGTTTATTAGCCTCGGCACGTTGATTTCCGTGAGAATTGAAATTAACAAAGCGTCGGAATATTATTCCTTCAGGCCACAGTTGCTCGTCGAAGAACATGTATAGTTTATGCCTTGGGACGAACATTTTAAACGCATTATAACCCCTTTCTTTGCGCTGAGATATTTTAATAAGAGATATTTTCTCATTCGTCTGTTTGTATACATACTCACTTATGGACTCTGCCTTAGTATCTTTGTACACATTTGTAATGAATATAGGCACTTTTATATCTGCCGATTTGAAATTCGACACTTGACTTGCCAATCCCATTTTATTGCCATATCGATTTGACTTCTTTTTCTTTTTATTTGACACCGTAATCCATTCATTTCCCGTTTTTACATTTTCCTCAGCAATAGACGTTTATTGCATCGGATTATGTTTCGTAGCTGTCGCACTCAGTTTATCGCCTACATCACCCGAGCGCCCCGATACCGTTAGTACGGGCATCAACGGCTGCGAGGGTGACTCTTTTGCAGGTCTACCTCCACTTTCGAGCTATTCGAATATGTTTTCTTCTCCTTATCAGGAGATTCTCCATGTTCGGTGAAATATAGACCCATAGAGCTACTATCGATATCAGAGTCATTCAGCAAACAAGTGCCTCTCCGTCGTCGGCTAATATTGAAGTTATTTACTGCCGATGTACTTTTCAGATTATCCAACTCAATTTTGAGTTGAGTAAACTCATGTTTAGACACATACGTATCTTGTAATAACTTCAAATCACGTTGTAGTACATTCATATCTCTTAAAATTTTTGAAGCATCCACATAATCAAAAGTAACGGGAGGTAGTTTATTTAAATTTCTTGCCACAAATATAGGGGTAATGTCTGGGTCTGTTTCCTTAAAAAGACATATGATGTCCTCCAAGTCCCTTACTAATTTGCCTTCGCCTTTCCTGATAACTCTTCGTGCTGAAGTCGAGATGGACTCAAACAGCAGCTTTTTCGCCTCTGCCACTTCTTCAACCGAGAAAGAACTGCTACATATACGTCGTATACTTTCTTCATCCATGACCTGTATTTTATTTTGAATAAAGGCCAGTACTTCAGAGATAACTACGTTGCAGTTTGCACACTTAACAGTTGTTGAAGTCATCGTTGGAAACGTATACTACACTACGCGCAAGCGCTGCTGCGAGCGGGCTTCGTGCGCACGCGACGAGGCACCGAGCCAGACTATGTATTGTTGTATGTATGTATTGTAATTAACCCTCTATTGCATGAATTATTAAATTAAAAAGAAAAAAAATATTTTTATGTTTCAATGTGTTTTAATAGGGCTTGTAAGACAAAATATAAAGTGAAAAAAAAAATAAGTATCTTATTTTAGAAAAAAAAAACAGAAGCCAAAATTGGCTTCCCATGCAATAACGTCTGTGTATGAGACTGCCATTTTTGGCTTCCTATGCACAACAAATACCAAAACTTACACAAGGTGAAATTCTCTAAAACAGTTTCTTTTCTCATTCAAGCAAAGAAAAACGTCACATTTCTCACATTTTATATGAGAACGCAAAGAACAATCATTCTGACATAATTGACGATTCTTTTGGTGTATCGGGAAATGGTCAATTTTGTCTGTACGTACTGAATTTAGAGGTAGGTCTTGCACTTTTGCTGGGGTTTTCCGTGCCCTTTTTCGAGGTGTGAAAGATTCATTTCTACTGGTAGGAGTACCCGTTCTAAATGACGTAGGAGTATTTCCTCTTGACAAGGTAGGTGTACCGGGATTACTGATACTAGGACGGCCTCTTTTTCTTGAGATACTTTTGCCAGCCTTGCAATAATGTTCAGAAATGGCTAGCTTGAAGTCAAATAGTGACATGTATTGGTCAGTCTTGGGTCGCCACAGTAACCAAGCATTAACTGCACACATATCAACCAAGTGGAAAAATATTTTTTTATACCACTGACGAGATCTTATTTTGATCCTATACAGACCTAACAAAGAGTCAAGCAAATCAATGCCTCCCATGTGTCGGTTATACACATCAACGCATTGTGGCGATGTTATGTCCTTGTACTGTTTATCTTTTCTGAAATATCTAGTCTTAGTAGAAGTCGGTTCACTACCAACAAACGCAGACAGTAAATTGACCACTTTATTGTCATACCATGATACCAGGCTTAGTTTTACGTCATCGACGATGGCGATTTTCTCAACCATAGTACCACGACCTATTTTCTTCAGGTCCTTTTCTGTAGGCATATCAGCGTTAGGTACTCTGTTCATCCTAATGGTTCCCAATGGCAGCAATCCATTTTTATACAGGTAAACTTGCAATTTTATACTATTGAACCAGTTATCGAAAAATATTTTGTGGTTTACATTTCGAGGCACAGTAGATGTGAGTCGTGTAACAACGTTGGAGCTGACACCAAGATCTGGTGCATCACTTGGAAAAATGTTGCTTTGATCGCCAGCAAAAATATCGAAGTCGTAACTGAACCCTGATACGCCACTCAACACTTGATTTTTGTACCCCCACTTATGAGGTTTGGCTGGATTGTACTGTTTGAGTTGGTGGCGAGCTTTCGTGGGTATAATTTGCTCATCTACGGCCAGATATTCTTCTTTGGATATCAAAAGTAACCGCTCTCTTAATTTTTCTATGAGAGGTCGAATTTTAAACAGTTTATCGTGACTTTGTGTACCGGGTGGTTTGAAATCTTCATTATTATTGAAATGAAGATGACGTTTTATCATTTCAAACTTATTACATGTCATTATTGAATTGACTTGATGCTGACCAATGTTGTTGGACCAATACATCCGTGTAGATGGCAGGTGAACTAATGAGGTGAAGATGACAATACCTATAAATTGCTCAATCTCAGTAGTTGTGATATTTGCTGGCTTGTTAACATTGACCTGAGTAGATTTCAGATTTGACTGTTCCGTAATAAATGTTATCAAATCTTCTGTGAAAAAAAAATTGGAAAAATTCGGCAGGTGATTCTAATTCTTGAGCAAACTCTGGCAATTCCAGGCTACCACTAAAATTGAAATTATTTTCATCATACGCTGGCATTTTTCCTTCAGTCCAGATAATTTTTTCCTTAACTGCTCGCTTCTGTTTCAAATTTTTAGGTCTAGGATCAACTATTTCGTCATCGGAAGTATCGGAATCGGATGGTAGAATAATTATAGGTTTTTTTACGTGTTTGGTTGCGCAAGCGCGAAAGCGGAACATCGTCATCGGAATCAGATAGTGAATCATCGTTGCTAAGAGAGCCATCACCAGGAATAGGTTTAATGCAGTTAGCAGTGCCATAAAAGCGTGAAGGAAGCATTCTGGAAAGATAAAAAAAACTCTGAATGCATGCGAAGCCATTTTAGGCGCAAACATACTTCATCGTAAATGCATGCGAAGCCAAAATTGGCTCCTGTAGAAAATATTGAAAAGGAGCAAATATTTTGAATAAACTGTGATAGGGGTCAAAAACAGAGGTTTTGCAGAACATTATTTACATTTTTTAACATCAATTTTCTTACCTTTTCTATTTAATTTCCACCAACAAAGCTGCAATAAATTCACTAAGAACGACGTCGCGTACGCACCGGAGAAAAGTGAGGTTATAATGACACATGACGTTGGCCATAGATAATAAAAATTACGTTTCGGTTCAGTTTGAATTCCTTAATATTACTACATTGACATTTTATAATTTTGTTTAAAATTAGGGTAGAAATAAATTACTAAAGTTGAGCAGCCAAAATTGGCTTTGTATGCAATAGAGGGTTAAAATAATTTTTGGCTTTATTTTGCTCAAGCTGATCATCTTGTGAAGTAATGTTTATATTATTAACACTTAATTGAAATTCAAGCTTAGTCCTTATCCTTCTGGGCCTCTCCTGTTGTACAGTGGGTGGTGTTGTAATGACAGCTGCTGCTCTGCTGCCTCTCTCTGCTGAAGTAATGAAATAATACACATAAAATGATCACAATTTTACTTTAATAGTATAAAGGTGAATATTTGCAAAGATTTTTGTTTGTTTATTAATCACACTAAAACAGCAGAAAACCTATATAAAATTTGGCACATAGACCATTTTATCTTGAAATAGTGGATAAAACAGCGGATCAGAAATATATTATGTATGTAAATAAGAATTATATAAATAACAAAGATCTAACTTACTTATTTGTGGTGCTGCTGACTGCAGAGTTATTTCTTGCACCTGTTGCTGATTAGGTGCTGGTGAAGCAACAGGTGTGGCTCTGCTGCCACTTGCTACTGAAATAATCAAATACATTAAACATACATATTAGTGAAATATAATCATGTAGATAGGTATGAATGTAGGTGTAAGAAAAATAACAAACTTACTAATTTGTGGTGCTGGCGATGCTTTATCTCTCTCAGTCTCAAGTAACTGGTATTCATTACATGTAATTATAATTTGTGTTTTAATACATTGTAGGTAATTACATTTAAATTATTATATTTTTAATATATCTTAAAAACTTACCTTGAGACAAACAAACGACTTCTACCATTTCCACCCCAGCTTCCACCTCATGTTGTAATGTCTATAATAATTAGTAAAACTATTTATTATTGTAAATTGCATTAAAACCAAAAACTATGATTATGAAGTTTGATTAAGTATATGAAATTGTATATAAGTGATTATTAATAGTATATACTACACACTACTACTACTTCACTTCTTCCTCTGGCATAGAGTCAGGGCAGTCGCTGCCAAATGTGTATTCAACACCTATCAGCGACACAATTTTTTTTTCCACCTCAGTCAGTGGAGCAGTGGTGATGCCTTGGTTGCCGGTCCGCATCCTTTCTCGTCTTAATTTTGCCGCTTTAGTGCAGGCCTGGCTTCTGAAGTCTCTCCATACCTACAAAATAAATAATTATGCATTTTAAGTAAATATTAGGTACACTGGCGCTGCATAATGTGCTGGCCGATTTATGTATAAGCCATTAGTCGTAAATCAGAAAAATTCTTTAGTAGAAACTTAACTGTTATCCACTGCTCAGGCGTCTTGACGGATCCGTTGGGAAGCTGGTTGAGCTCGTCGGCAACTTCCCTCCAGCCCTTTTCAAAAATTTCCTTGCCCTGCAGGCCACTAAATTTTCTGGTGTACAAATGTGGACTAGCTTCCAGCTTGGACAATAGTATCTCAAGCTGCCCACTCGTAACTCTAAATATTCAAATTGTAAAAATTACAGTCTCTAAACAAATCATTCAATAAACAACGATAGATTCGAAAAAGGTGTACACATAGAATTATTTGGACAGGTTGTGTACCAGTTATACTTTTCGGGTTGTACTTACTTAACGCAGCTCGAAACCGGGCCTGCGCCTGCGTCACTGTCCCCCACCATTGAAAATATTATATAAACTATATTTTTAATAAAATATATGATATGTTTTATACAATGTGTAGCATAAACTAACTAGATGATATGTAGGTCTAGTAGTAGTAGGAATGTCAACGTTGTCAAATCGAGACAGACATGTAATAGTGTTGCAAGGAGGCAAACTTTTATGTCCTTTGATATTTAACAAGTTAGTTCAATTCTTAGAAACGGTAAAAGCTACATGTAAGTTACATACAAAATATTTTTTTTAAGAAAAGGTTTCTTCTATTTCTGTACAATTTTCAAAGAAAAGTAATTATTTTTATAAAATTATGTCTGCAAATTTTCCCTATTATTTTTTAACAGCCAACAGTTTTTTAAGAAAACCCGCACTATGAATACGTTTTTTGTTAGCGTAACAACAACGTAAAGTAAAGATAATTAACGATCTTGCACGGAATTTCGGCTGTAGAGACTTGCATTTATCGTAAGCACCGTTACGGCAAGCAATTTTTGTTGTTATTATTTAGCGATAGGTAGTTTGCGATGGAGTCGCTATCTATGTCGAGACTGCAGCCACTGGTTTCTTATTATAGACGGTTCATTCCTGATTTTACCAAATTATCCAAACCCCTTACGTGCTGGAAGAAAGAACAGCAATTGTCATTCGAAGTACTCAATCAAAAACTTACTAATCGGTTTTGGCATAACTCGATTTCTCAAAACGTTTTATACTAACTTGCGACGCTTCCAATTTCGCTATATCAGCAATCTTATCCTTGGGGTCAATAGAAAAAGACCGCCCTGTAGCTTTTGCTTCCAGCCCCTTAAACAAAGCAGAGTGCAACTATAACGTGACTGAAAAGGAATGTTCATAAAAAAGGGAAAATCAACACCAAACTGACGCTCTCTCCAGATTCCCTGCTAATGCCATCCAATATCTAAAGTCTCAAGTCCCAATCACGTTAGTAGAAAATTATTCACCTTCTTCATTTGACCACGTAACACCCGAAGAATTAGAAAAGCAGCTTTCTTCTATACCTTATCCCAATAGCAATGAAATACCTTTAATTGATCTTCTCTAAGATCTCGAAACTTCCTTAACTAATAGTCCTACCTACCCTAAAACAAACGAATAACACTAATCCTAATCCTTATAACTCAGTAGATCCTCCACCCTCTGAAACCGATCCAACTGATTTCGACGTTTTCGGTCTCAAGATCGAGGCCCTTACGATAACTTTTTTAATTGTTTTTATAGGAGGGGACAAGGGAGCATACGGTTCACCTGATTTTAAGTGACTACCGCTGCCCATGCAATACCAGAGGAATTGCAGGTGCGTTGCCGGCCCTTTAGAAAGGAGTAAGCTCTTTTCTTGAAAGTCCCCAGGTCGTATCGGTCCGGAAAAATTGATGATTCGCTTAGTCGGCCTACACCCCCACCTGAAAGTTACCAGTTCCTCTGAATCAACTTTCGACTACTTTCCGTCACTCGCCGATACCCGAAATATCTCCTATTTCACTTTTACTTTTAATTTAGGCTAATTATCTAGGCGTACATATATATGGGGTGGTCGGGTGCCCGACTGCTTGAAGTACTGTACTGCACAATGACTAGTGCTATATTAGGGACTTATGATAGTAAGCTCTACAGGCTGTCCAGTAAATAGCACGACATACTGCAGGAGGTGATAGCTAGGGTCACTACCTATCAATACAACACAAGATCTTACGGATTTACAGTTTTACAAAATTTTCCGAAATACCGAAAATTCTCTACCTTGAAACAGATTTTTAAGCATCTCGTAATGAAAAAATCCTTTTCTAGTACTTTTTTTACATCAAATTATTCGTGAATTTGTGTGTTTTCAACAAATACCATTTTTTGTTTAAATTTGCACAGAACTATTTTCTTATCACCTAACCTACAGTGGTGAAAAAAAATGTATGTGGCAGTTTTGAACAACAAACTTAAAAATAGCTTGTTTAATGGTGATTTAGGAAAGATACAATACTAGTGCATTTTCATTAAAAAATATACAAAAAAATAAGCTATTTTAGTTAATATTTGATTTAAAATGCAAGTAATGTGACTTTGAATTCGAATCGTTGTAAGGTCGTACTACGGTTCGAATTACATAATAATTAATCTACAGCCGACCGGCCGGCCGGTCTGTAAATGACATCTTGAAGGATAAGGTGATAGTAAAAAAAACAGAGGAGTTAACTTTAATAAACATTTATTTAAATAAATTACAATAAATGCTCAAATTGCTTCCCTTGTGCCCTAATACACGCTCGGCATCTTCTTAAAAATGAGCTTTTTCTTCTCAGGCTTATTTTCGATATTTTCTTGATGCAATGTTAACCCTTGCTCTCAATTCATTGTCATTTTATCGGTTTTTCATACTTTGTCCTTCAGCACCCCAAAAAAAATCCAGGGGGTTTAGGTCCTGAGACCTAGGTGGCCATAATATCGGTCCCAGTCGCCCAATCCACCCGCCTGGATAAGCTTCATCTAAGTAGGCTCTTACTTCCCGGCCATAATGAGCAGGGCACCCATCATTTTGAAGCCACATCACCTCTCTTAGCTCACTCGGAACATTTTCAAGGAGCGTGAGTAGGATTTCTCGTAAAAACTCCAAGTAATTATTGGCATTTAATGTAGGTGGAAGCTTGACGGGATCCACAATCTGACCGTTTAAAATCCCACACCATAAATTTATTTTGAATTGGTACTGGGACCTGTCTTCTCTTGACACATACGGATTTTCTAATTGCCAACTATGTAAATTATGCAAATTCAAGTAACCGTCCTTTCTGCAGGTTGACTCATCACTCCATAACACCTTATTAAAAAAGTTTGGGTCCTCCCGATGCATTTCAAGCATGCAGCGGCAGAATTGAACTCTCGGCAGGTAGTCTCTAGTTAAAAGAGTTTTCACGCGTCGTACGTGAAATGGATGGTATCCATAACTCTTAAGTACTGAATGAACAGTGGACTTCGGTATCCCTGTGCGCCGTTGTATCGCCCTAACCGAAGTTGTCGGGTCTTGTTCTCGTTCCTGAAGCACTATGTCTTCGTCAACAACTTGAGGCCGTCCACTGCCACGTTGACCAGGGAGTCTGCCTTCCATGCACTCTGGTAAACATTTCATGGTGTGGATGTCTCCTATCGGGAAACCTTTCCCTGTAGACGGAGGCAGCAGCTCGGGAACTTTGGCCAGCTTCTCCGTAAATAAGGTGCATCTCAGCATACTCTCGCTGCGTATAACCAGGAAAAACGCGGCGGTTGGCCATGTTATGAAACACAGAAGTCCAGGTGGTCGCCAAGTCGTCGTAGTGATCACAATAAAAAATCCAAATCGTAAGGCAAACAAAGTCCGGGGTCCAGGGCACAAAACAGTCGTCAGTACGAAACAATAATTTGTGAACACAGAGATGCGTTGCGCACGGTTTAAGGTAGCGTACTGACAAGTGTCGCAAATAAAGCCCGGTTTACATTTTGAGAAGTGACAAGTGCGAGTGACAATGACAAGTGACAAATGACAAGTGCTTAGTGCGTGTGAACAGGCAGTGACAAGTGCGAGTGACAAGTGATAAGTGCGAAGTGAAAAGTAACAAGTGAATAGCGGCCTGCTCTATTCTCTCACAAGTATCTCTGCCCCGCGCTAACCTTGCTTTTCCCTCATTCGCCCACCGCCGCCTCCGTTCTAGCCGTCAGAACGCACAAGTGTTGGTGATACTTATTAATAAAATATTTTTGTTAAATATATATTCTATATATAGGTATTTATAATAATTTTAGTTTATTACACTATTATTTTTAACAATGGCGAAGTGGTCAGATACCAATAACATCAGATTTGTCCAGGGTTATTGAAACATGAATGCTTATTCAATATTAAATCGCCGAATTTAAAAAACAAAATGATGCGAGACGCTGTTATGCTCTCCATATCCCAAGCAATGGAAATGCCCGGTTTCGGCGCAAAAGAAGTGTATGCTAAACTAAGAAGTATAAAATCTACGTATTACCAAGAAAAAAAGAAAATTAAAGACTCCTGTAGGTCAGGGGCTGGAGCCATGGATGTATACACTTCAAATATTAAGTGGTTTCAACTAATGGACGAGGCATTTAATGCAGTAAATGGTGAATGCAGAGGAAGTCAGAGCAATTTGGTAAGTTTTTTACTGAAGTTTTTTTATACAACATCAGGAGGAAGACAAGCATATATAAATTAACATTAATTTGACACGTTGCTTATTTATTTATTTATTACAAAATAATATCTTTTTACTTATATATTTGTAACAATTTTAATATTGACATTTTAACATATTATCAAGGTGATAAGGCGTATCTACAATTTGCTATAAAGAAACATTTTTGGGGTGAATCTACCCACTTGTTAGCCCTACAACATACTGAAAAGGTATAATACATGTTTGTGGTTTTATCAATAGACCTAAATACTATTATCAAAATTGTTAAAAACAAAACTAATAAATCATTCTTGACTGCCACGGAACTGCACCATCACCCACAAAATAATTTGCATAATTTTCGCGAATAGCTTGAGCGCTGTTGGATGACCGGTTCTGCATACGCCAGTGAATAGGAATGAGGCCATCTGATGGGACATCTCTCCAGCTTCCACTTTGAATTGCACCAGTTTCGGTATCCTCAACATCAACAGTAGCAACATGTACCGATATTGCTGACTTTCTTGCCCAGTTGTGAATAGCACAACAAGCTTTGACTATTTTTTCTACTTTTTCAGGCTCGAAAGGGAGAGGTTTTTTCATAAATTCTAAATCGGCTGACAAGAATTCCAAAAGCGTTTTCAACAATGCGTCTTGCCCGGGACAACCTGTAGTTAAAATTTTTTTGATTAAACTCCAAATTGTTTCCACTATATGGTTTCATCAAGTATTTTTTTAATGGAAAGGCATTATCACCAACTATTACATAACCTTCCGGTAGCAAGTTGTTATCTAGAGCTTCACTAAGGTTGCAGTTGCTAAATACTCCACCATCTGCTATTCTACCATTACAGCCAATGTCAAAATAGATGAAACAATAGTCATCATCTACTACTGCCATAAGAACAATACTATTTTGTTTTTTATAATTAAAGTAAAAACTGCCTGCAGCAATTGGCGCTTTTATTATCACATGTTTTCCATCTATAGCTCCACAACATCCTGGGCAAGTCCATGCATTTCTAAAACCTCTTTCAATCTTTGACCATCCTTCTGCATTGTCAGGCACCTGTAACAAATCATATTTATTTATAAACAAACAGAACTTTCTAATTAATTGTTACTCCATCTTTGTTTCAGCAAAATACTCCTCACATCTTCGAAGAATATAATAATGAAAACGCTCCAAGAGTAGAACTATCTACCCCAGATCAAATTGAGCACATGATTACAAACTCAGGAAATGCAGACGAATGCTCACTGCATTCGTCTGGAATCTGGAAATGCTGAACATCCAAAAAGAAACACCCCAACTAGAAAAAGAACGTTAAGGCAACTGGACAACATCGTGACCAAAGCGAGACTGGTTGCTGATGTTATCGGAAACTCTGGCACTAGCTCAAATCTCTCAGAAACTGAGTTTGATGTTTTTGGCAAAAGTATAGCTGCACAGCTAAATAATATACCACTGAATGCAGCTATTCAAGCACAAATATGCATTCAAAATTATCTATCACATCTCCGGTTACAACAAATGTCTACTAGTAGTTCCACCCGCTTGTTTGATTCACATTCGTCCCTAATATCGCCAAATTTTTTATAACACCGACACAACGAACACCATCACCAAATTTTTACATTTCATCTACACCTCCACAACCCACACCATCACCAAATTCCAACGTTACATCACAGCCCACACCATCACCAAACTTCTACATTTCATCTACACCGCCACAACCCACACCATCACCAAATTCCAACATTACATCACAGCCCACACCATCACCAAACTCCTACAAACCAGCTTCACAGACACAACCCACACCATCATCAATTTATGTTTCTGATTCTGAGAATATTATAACTTTGTATGCGCCAGATGCTTCAGATACTGAGGGAGATATTTTATCACGGGCTTTAAAATCAAATAAAGATTAGAAGATTCTTATTTCTGATTTGTTTTTATTAAATTACATAATAATTAAAGATTACCATTAAAAAACTTTATTTTACTTACCTGAATGTAATCCTTAAGGGCATTATAAATGGCATCACAAACTTTGGAGATCATTTTAGAAAGAGTTAATTTTGGTACCCTGAACATATGTAGCATAGTTCTGAAACTCGTTCCATGAGTCATCTATTGTGGGCTTGGTTGCTAAGCAAATAAAAGCGTCTTCACTCTTCTATAAATGTATATATTCTTCTTTTACAAAGATAGTTTAAAATTACAAGCACGAAGCCACAAAGATAAAAAGAAATGAATAAGAAAATACAATTAATTAGAAGTAAGGAGTGCTTGAGATAGGAAGCCGAGAATAAGTTAGTCGCGATTTAAAATAACCGTTATTCTGGCGGCGCGAGCGTGGGGTCTAGCGTTGAGGCCGTTTTAATGCAGACTGCCGGTAAGATCCGAAGGCGCCCGGACTGTCACGAAAGCAGATTTAACGGAGCCGAGCATTCCCGACCGCAACCGACACGAACCTCGCGTCGGCGCGTACGCCGTTACCTAAACATGCAAAAGAATGACAAAATTGCATGTCGCCACATCAGCCCCCGGAGACCTTTAGGGTCGATAGAAATCAGGGAATCGTACTCGGCGACCGTAGCGAGACGTCCTAAATTGCGGAGGAGTTGAAAGTGTTCTTGTACCATCACTCGCAGCGTTAGTCCCATGCGTTCTAGGTATAGTCGACGTCGCACCAGAACTACCTGGTTCATCCGTCAGGATATAGGCCGGTTTCAACCTGTCGATCGAGACGTTGACTATTCTACCAGCAAGGTCGATTTTGAAAATTTTTTTACCGCGCTCTATTACCTTACACGGACCGGCATAAGGTGGTTGTAAAGATCTGCGTACAAAGTCCTGTCGTAAAAATACATGTGAAACAGTCGATAAATCTTTAAAAACGAAGATTTTATGCGTACCGTGTCGAGTAACTATTGTAGGTTGTAACCTTTTCATATGTAAACGCAACCTGTCCAGAAAGTCGGTGTAATCAGTCAGTCTGTCAGCCGTCGGTTCAAACAAGTCGCCGGGCAACTTAAGCGGTTCTCCGTAAACTAGTTCAGCAGTAGAAGCAGACAAATCGTCCTTCCATGCACTACGAATACCCAGAAGTACAAGTGGAAGTTTCTCGGTCCAGTTCTCGTCTGCGTGACACATAATAGCTGCCTTAAGTTGTCGATGGAAACGTTCCACTAGACCATTGGCAGCAGGGTGATACGCAGTAGTTTGTATATGTCGTGAACCTATAAGCGCTGATATCTGACTGAAAAGATGGGATTCAAACTGTTTCCCCCTATCTGTGGTTACCTTTTCTGGGCAACCAAAACGTGATATCCACGATGATATAAAAGCTTTTGCTACACTCTCCGCTCTGATGTCCTTTAACGGCACTGCCTCTGGCCACCTGGTAAACCTATCTATAGCTGTGAAGCAGTATCGGTAATCATCAGAGACGGGAAGTGGACCTATCAAGTCTACGTGAACATGAGAGAAACGGGCCGTAGGACGCTTAAAATCCTGGATAGGGGCGTGTACGTGTCCCGATACTTTCGATCTCTGGCATGAGATACACGAGCGCGCCCAACTCCGGCAATACTTCCTAATGCCCGGCCATACATACCTCTCAGTCACCAGTTTAATAGTGGCCCTAGCACTTGGATGACTAAGTCCATGAATATTGTCAAAAACCATTTTACGAAATGCAGGTGTTATGAATGGTCTATGTAGCAGCCAGATTGATCAAACCTAAACGGGAATAAATAATATATACTCCGCTGCTACCATAACGCGGAAGGTGAGAATACATAAAGAAAAACATTTTATTTCCTAATTATTCTTGGCTACTGAGATACTGCGGACTGTATATAGATAATTTGACGTTCTTATAAAGAAACAAGAAGCAGCCGCAAATATCATTCAGCGCCACACCGACTTCACACGCCGCTATCGTCACGTATCCGTCGACCAATGGTGAGCCGTTTCTTCAACGCCGCAGTTCGTTTCCTCTTGCTGTTCCGGAGCTGTATTCCACACCGCCGCCGCCCGCCGACTACGCGTGCGCACCGATCTGTATGTCTTATATAGCCCGGTCCAGCGACGTAGCTTCGTGAACAACAAACAAGTCTCACGCCGGGAAACGAAACGTAGATAATTGTATATTTTAAATAGTTTTCATTGGTCATAAAATAAGCAATATAATTGGCTAGGCAAAATATTAATTGTTACCATTGGCAAATCAATAGTGAGCCAGCCATATAAATATAGGCAAGGTTGATGCAAAAGATATTCCATTCCGAATCCCATTCGACAGTACATTCATAAACATAAACAGTAGTTTCATTTCTCCACCTTGAAGAAAACCACGCGGAGTCTGTTAATAGTGGACAGTTCATCTCCACTATTACAGTGGTGACCCCGTACGAACACCGAGGGGGAAGATCCGGTACGAACACCAAGAAGGAACACCCTACGACGTACCACTACTATTGCACGAACACCGCGAAGGAAACCCGTACGAACACCGAGAAGGAAGACTTCAGTTTATATAAAATCAGTGTAATCTACGCCGACCATTCAAATGGAGATTTATCGTCGCTAAAGTCAGCAAACCAATCATCGGTGCTGATTTTCTTCAACATCACCAGTTGGTCGTCGACATCAAAAATAGAAGAATCATCGACGGGAAAACCAATCTTGCATCTCAGTCTTTTGTACAAGCAACCAATCTGCCCACAATAAGAAGCATAGATGTGCAACAACCGTATCACAAGATCCTCGAAGAATACCCTGGTATCACAAGAATAACTTCAATGAAATTAACACCGAAGAACGACGTTGAGCATTTCATCGACACCAATGGACCACCACTTCATTGTCGTGCACGTCCAATCGCACCACACCTATACGAGCAAGTTCGAAAGGAATTCGAAAACATGATTGAGCAAGGAATATGCCGTCCAAGCAAAAGCCCTTGGTCATCACCACTTCACATTGTACCGAAGAAGAACGGAGAATTACGAGTTTGTGGAGATTACAGAAGACTGAATTCTATTACCACTCCTGACCGCTACCCAATACCGCGAGTCAGGGATTTCACTCATCAACTATCAGACAAGACTATATTCTCCACCATCGATCTCAACCGAGCTTACCAACAAATAAGAGTCCGCGATGAAGACATAGAGAAGACAGCAATAATTACCCCAATGGGATTATTCGAATTCCCAAGAATGATCCCAGGATTAAAGAACGGAGGTCAAACTTTCCAAAGATTCATACACGAAGTACTTCATGGACTGGATTTCGTTTTCGCATTTATTGATGATCTCCTTGTTGCAAGCCCTGATAAAGAAACGCACGAAACCCATCTACGCACCGTGCTACAGCGATTAGAAGACAACGGAATCACAATCAACCCTTCGAAATGCATATTTGGACAGCAAGAAGTTCAATTTCTTGGTTTCACCGTCAGCAAGGAAGGAATAAAACCGCCTGCCGAAAAAGTCAGAGCAATCATCGATTATGCAAAACCTAAAACTATCGAAGAGCTAAGGCGTTTTCTCGGGATGATAAATTTTTACAGAGAACACATACCTAAAGCCGCTGAAATCCAAGCACCACTTCACGCCTACCTTCACAACACGAAGAAAAAAGATAAAACGTCAATCGAATGGAACGATGAAGCCACGAAGGCATTTGAAGCTTATAAAATTGCGATCCAAAATGCAGCTTTACTCGCTCACCCATCACACGAAGCAACCCTTGCTATCTTCAGCGACGCATCCGATCTCTCAGCAGGAGCAGTTCTCCAACAATACAGCAATGGGAAATGGCAACCACTTGGATATTTTTCGAAGAAGTTCTCCGATACTCAACGTAACTACAGTACATTCGACCGAGAGCTACTCGCTATTTACATGGCTATCAAGCACTTCAGAAAAACGTTCGAGGGTCGAAACCTGATCGTTTTTACCGACCACAAGCCATTAACATATGTACTTCCAAAGAAACCATCACTATCGGAAACACCACGAAGAGCAAGACAACTTATTTTCATAAGTGAATTCACGACCGACATACGTCACATCAGTGGAAAGGACAACATAGTTGCCGACGCACTCAGTCGCGTACCAATCGACAGTGTAACGTGCCCTACATCAATCGACTATCATAAGATCGCCGCAGCACAAGACAGAGATAGTGACAACATAAAACATCTAGCGAAGCAAGGTAACTTGTCCATCAAGCAAGTTACAATGCCAATGACGCATCTACCTATATACTGTGAAGCCTCAACGACAACCATGCGACCATACATACCAGAAGAATGTCGTCGCGAAGTCTTCAATACACTGCACAACATTAGTCATCCAGGTGTTAGAACAACAAGAAAACTCATCACTGAAAAAATTCTTTTGGCCTGCAATGCAAGCGGATGTTGGCAACTGGGCGAAGCAATGCATTCAATGCCAAAAATGCAAAGTTCAAAGGCATACATCAAGTAGTCTAGCTACATTTCCACCCACGGAGAGATTCGAACACTTGCACGTTGACATCGTTGGACCATTACCTACTTCACCGCAAGGACATCGTTATCTCGTAACAATGATCGACAGAACAACAAGATGGCCAGAAGCAATACCTACCGATGATACTTCAGCCGAATCCGTCGCGAAGATAATTTATGAAAATTGGATTACTCGTTTCGGATCACCTAAAACCATCACAACGGATCAAGGAAGGAATTTCGAAAGCAACCTATTCCTCAAACTTCTTCAAACTATGGGAATACAGAAGACGCGTACAACAGCATACCATCCTCAGTCAAACGGAATAATCGAACGATGGCATCGTACATTAAAGACCGCACTCAAAACTCGTTTATCTCAACATACAAAGTGGATTAATGAGCTACCTACAGTGCTACTCGGACTACGAGCAACACCGCGTGCAGACACTAGTCTTAGCGCCGCTCAGCTAACCTACGGCTGCAGCATAAGGCTGCCGTGTGACTTCTTCAGTTCAGCAGCGTCAAACAAACAAG